CAGTGGAACCTGCAATCTACATGCCCTTCCCCCATACCCATCCTCCCAAGACCTCAGCCACTTCCTGAGGCTTGGAAACCAACCCCCAGCTCTGATCCTGCTGAGAGCTCTCATCAGGCCTAGACAGAGAGCTCTCATTGGACAAAGAGCTGTCATTGGACCAAGAGTAACCTCAGCAGACAGGGAATCTGCCAGCCCTCATTAGACCAAAAGTGGCTTTCTGAGAAGTAGAATCTACCACCTCTCATTGGACCAAAAAGGCTTCCTGAAACACAGAATTAGTCAGCTCTGACTGGACCAAGAGGCCTGATAAGACCAAGAATGGATCTGTGACTCACAGAATCAACTAGCTTGGGTTGACCTAAGAGCAGCTCCCTGAGAACAGAAGCTGCCTGCTCCAATTAGACCAAGAGCTAAGATTAGACCCAGAAGGGCCACCTGAGACACAGATACAACAATCACAGAGTGGACCAAAAGCAACTCACTCAGACACAGTCACCTCTTATACCTATTAGATGAGGAGATGGGCAAACATCAAGGCAGAAGTACATACAACAACATAAAGAGCAATACAGTATCACCAGAACCTAGCCCTCCTCCAATAGCAAGACCTGAACATCACAAGGTAGAAGAAGCAAAAGAAAGAGACCTTAAGAATAGCATCATAAAGATGCTAGAGGCCTTTCAAGAAAAAATGAAAAATGAAATTGAGGAAAAGATGAACAAAAAATTGGAAGAAATAAAAAAAGAAATTGAGAAAAAGACAAACAAAAAATTGGAAGAAATGTATTAAGAAATAGAGGAAAAAACAAATAAAAAAATGGAAGAAAGCAATAAATCCCTTAAAGAAAACCATGAAAAAGCAATTAAACAGGTGAGGGAAACAGTTCAAGACCTGAAAAGGGAAATAGAAACAATGAAGAAGACACAAACAGAGGAAATGCTGGAAATAGAAAATCTGAGTAAACGAATAGGAAACACAGATGCAAGCATAACCACCAGAATACAAGAGATGAAGAGAGGATCTCTGGTGTAGAGGATACAATAGAGGAAATGGATTCATCAGTCAAAGAAAATACCAAAGCCAAAAAAGTCATAACACAAAATGTCCAAGAAATCTGGGATACCATGGGAAGATTAAACTTAAGAATAATAGGGATAGAGGAAGGAGAAGAATACCAACTCAAAGGCACAGAAAATATATTCAACAAGATCATAGAATAAAACTTTCCCAACTTAAAGAAGGAAATTCCTATGAAGATACAAAAAGCCTATAGAACACCAAACAGACTAGGCTCCCCAAAAACGTCCCCTCGCCACATAATAATTAAACAACTAAATCTACAGAATAAAGAAAGAATATTAAGAGCAGCAAAGGAAAAAGGCCAAGTGACTTATAAAGGCAAACCCATCAGAATAACACCCGATTTCTCAATGGAGATTTGAAACCCAGAAGGACCTGGACAGATGTAATGCAGACACTAAGAGACCATGGATGCCAGCCTTGACTAATATACCCAGCAAAACTTTCAATCATCATAGACAGAGTAAACAAGACATTCTAAGACAAAACCAGATTTAAACAATTCCCATCCACAAATACAGCCCTACAGAAAGCACTAGAAGGAAAATTCCAACCTAAGGAAGTCAGATACATCCATGAAAACACAGGCAATAGATAACCCCACAACAGTAAGTCCCAAAGAAGAGAAGTACACACACACTACCACCAAAAGATAAGAGGAACGAACAATCACTGGTCATTAATATCCCTTAATATCAATGGACTTAATTCACATATAAAAAGACAGAGGCTAACAGAATGGATATGAAAGCAGGACCCATCATTCTGCTGCGTACAAGAAGCACACCTCAATTTCAAAGATAGACACTACTTAGAATAAAAGACTGAGAAAAGTCTTTCTGGTCAAATGGTCTTAAGAAACAAGTGGGTATAGCCATTCTAATATCCAGCAAAATAGACTTCAAACTAAAATCAATCAAAAGAGATCAAGAAGGACATTACATACTCATCACAGGAAAGATCCACCAAGATGAAGTTTCAATTCTGAACATTTATGCCTCAAACACAAGAGCACCCACATATGTAAAAGAAACATTACTTTAATCACACATAAAACCCCACATATTAATAGTGGGAGACTTCAACACCCCACTCTCACCACTGGACAGATATGCCAGATTGAAACTTAACAGAGAAACAAGGGACTTAACAGATGTTATGACTCAAATGGACTTAATCGATATCTACAGAACATTCCATCCTAACAAAAAAAGAATATACCTTCTTCTCAGCACCCCATGGAACCTTCTCTAAAATCAACCGCATACTCAGCCACAAAGCAAATTGCAATACAAAAAAATTGGAATAACCTCCTGTGTTCTATCAGACCACCATGGTTTAAAGTTAGATTTCAACAACAACAAAAATTACAGAAAGCCTACAATCTCATGAAAACTTAATAATGCTCAACTGAATCACCAATGAGTCAAGGAAGAAATAAAGAATGAAATTAAAGACTTCCTAGAGATCAATTAAAATGAATATACCACATACCCAACTTATGGGACACTATGAAAGCAGTGCTAAGAGGAAAATTCATAGCTCTAAATGCCCACATAAAGAAGTTGGAGAAATCTCACACTAGTGACTAAACAGCACACCTGAAAGCCTTAGAACAAGAAGAAGAAAAGTCACCCAGAGGAATAGATGCCAGGAAATAATCAAATTGAGAGCTGAGATCAATCAAATAGAAACAAAGAGAACAATACAAAGAATCAATAAAACAAAGAGTTGGCTCTTTGAGGAAATCAACAAGATACACAAGCCCTTATCCAAACTAACCAAAAGGCAGAGAGAGAGAGCATCCAAATTAGCAAAATCAGAAATGAAAATGGAGACATAACAACTAGCATTGAAGAAATCCAGAGAATCATCAGTTCATACTTCAAAAACCTGTACTCCACAAAACTGGAAAATATAAAAGAAATGGATAATTTTCTGGATAGGTACCACATATCTAAGTTAAATCAAGACCAGATAAACTATTTAAATAGACCAATATCTCCTAAGGAAATTGAAACAGTCATTAAAAGTGTCCCAAACAAAAAAACCCCAGGTCCAGATGGTTTCAATGCAGAATTCTACCAGATGTTCAAAGAAAAGATAATACCAATACTCTTTAAATTGTTCCACAAAATAGAAACAGAAGGAATGTTACCAAACTCCTTCTATGAGGCTACAATTACCCTGATTCCCAAGCCAAACAAAGATTCAACAAAGAAAGAGAACTACAGACCAATCTCCCTCATGAACATTGATGCAAAAATACTCAATGAAATATTGGCAAACAGACACCAAGAACACATCAAAACAATTATCCACCATGATCAAGTAGGCTTCATCCCAGGGATGCAAGGATGGTTCAACATACAAAAGTCTGTCAATGTAATACATCATATAAACAAACTGAAAGAAAGAAACCACATTATCATCTCAATAGATGCTGAAAAGACCTTTGAAAAAATCCAACACCCCATCATGATAAAGGTCTTGGAGAGATTAGGAATACAAGGAACATACCTAAACATAATAAAGGCAATTTACAGCAAGCCAACAGCCAACATCAAAGTAAATGGAGAAAAACTCAAAGTGATTCCACTAAAATCAGGAACAAGGCAAGGCTGTCTGCTCTCCCTATACTTATTCAATATAGTACTTGAAGTTTTAGCCAGAGCAATAAGACAACATAAGGAGATCAAGGGGATACAATTTAGAAAAGAAGAAGTCAAACTTTCACTATTTGCAGATGACATGATAGTATACATAAGTGACACCAGAAATTCGACCAAGGAACTCATACAGCTTGTAAACACCTTCATCAATGTAGCAGGATACAAGATTAACTAAAAAAAAAAAAATCAGTAGCCCTTCTATATTCAAATGACAAACAGGGTGAGAAAGAAATCAGAGATACATCACCCTTTACAATAGTCATAAATGATATAAAATACCTTGGGTTAACTCTAACTAAACAAGTGAAGGACCTGTATGACAAGAACTTTAAGTCCCTGAAGAAATAAATTGAAGAAAATGTCAGAAAATGGAAAGATCTCCCATGCTCATGGATAGGTAGGATTAACATAGTAAATCCTATGTAAAAATGGCAATCTTACCAAAAGCCATCTACAGATTCAATGCAATCCCCATCAAAATCCCAACACAATTCTTCACAGACTTGCAAAGAATAACACTCAACTTCATATGGATTTTGGATAGCCAAAAGAATCCTGTACAATTAAACAACCTCTGGAGGTATCATGAACCCTGACTTGAAGCTCTGCTATAGAGCTACAGTAATAAAACCAGCTTGGTACTGGCATAAAAACTGACATCTGGACCAATGGAACCAAACTCAAGACCCTGACATTAATCAGCACACCTATGAACATACATATGACTTTTGACAAAGAAGTCAAAACTATACAACGGAAAAAAGAAAGCATCTTCAACAAATGGTGCTGGCATAACTGGATGTCAACATGTAGAAGACTGCAAATAGATCCATATCTGTCATTGTGCACAAAACTTAAGTCCAAGTGGATCAAAGACCTCAACATAAATCCAGTTACTCTGAACCTGATAGAAGAGAAAGTAGAAAGTAGTCTTGAACGCATTGGCACTGGAGATCACTTCCTAAATATAACACCAGTAGCACAGACACTGAGAGAAACAATTAATAAATGGGACCTCTTGAAATTAGAAGCTTTTGTAGGGCAAAGGACATGGTCAACAAGACAAAGTGACAGCCTACAGAATGGGAAAAGATCTTCATCAACCCCACATCTGACAGAGGGCTGATATCCAGAACATATAAAGAACTCAAGAGGGGCCTAGACGAGGCTGGGTCGGCCTAAAGGTAGGGCTTCCAAGAACACTCTCCGGAAGATCCGCGTTGCTGTACCAGAGAGGTGCTCCAGCGCTCCAGTTGTCGCTGCTGTCGTTTCCTGTGCCATTTCAGTCATGCCGAAGCACGAGTTCTCTGTGGACATGACCTGCGGGGGATGTGCTGATGCTGTCTCCCGAGTCCTCAACAAGCTGGGAGGAGTGGAGTTCAACATTGACTTGCCCAACAAGAAGGTCTGCATTGAGTCTGAGCACAGCACAGACACCCTGCTGGCCACACTCAACAAAACAGGAAAGGCCGTGTCCTACCTCAGCCCCAAGTAGCCAGGACCTGGGCCAGTTCCTCTGGAAGTACTAAAGAGGTCATTGATCTGGTCTCCTTGCAGATTTGGAACACTAACTGCTCAGTCCAGCTCAGCCATGGAGTTCCTGCCCAGACAGGCCCTCCCCTGCTGGCGGCTCCCTGCCGGCTTCCCTGCAATAAAGTCAAGCTGCATTTGTTGAAAAAAAAAAAAAAAACTCAAGAAATTAGACATCAGAATACCCAACAGTCCAATTAAAAAATGGGCTATAGAGCTAAACAGAGATTTCTCAACAGAAGAATCGCAAATGGCTGAAAGACATTTAAAGAAATGTTCAACATCCTTAATCATCAGAGAAATGCAAATCAAAAATGACGCTGAGATACCACCTTACACCTGTTAGAATGGCTAAGATCAAAAACACTGAAGACAGCTTATGTTGGAGAGGATGTGGAACAAGGGGAACACTCCTCCATTGTTGGTGGGAATGCAAACTTGTACAGCCACTTTGGAAATCAATATGGTGCTTTCTTAGAAAATCGGGAATCAACCTCCCTCAAGACCCAGCTATACCACTCTTGGGTATGTACCCAAGGAATGCTCAATCATACCACAAGGACACATGCTCAACTATGTTCATAGCAGCATTATTTGTAATAGCCAGAACCTTGAAATAACCTAGATGCCCTTCAACTGAAGAATAGATAAAGAAAATGTGGTACATATACACAATGGAGTACTACTCAGCAGAGAAAAACAATGACATCATGAGGTTTGCAGGCAAATGGATGGAACTAAAAAATATCATCCTGAGTGAAGTAACCCAAACTCAGAAAGACAAACATGGTCTGTACCCACTCATAAGTGGATACTAGATGTAAAGCAAAGAATAACCAGACTACAAGTCACAACTCCAGGGAGGCTACCTAGTAAAGAGGACCCTAAGAAAGACACAGAGATTGCCAAATGACAAAGAAATGGATGAGATCTACATGAGCAAACTGGAGGTGGGGGAGGGGGCGGGCGGTAATGGAGGGCAAGTGTGGGGGAAAGAGAGCTTAGGGGAGTGGGAGATCCCAGCTGGATCAAGAACAGAGTGGGAGAACAAGGAAAGAGATACCATGATAAATGAAGACCCCATGGGAATAGGAAGAAGCAGAGTGCTAGAGAGGTCCCCAGAAATCCACAAAGATACATCCACTATAGACTACTGGCAATGGTCAAGAGAGTGCCTGAACTGACCTACTCTGGTGATCAGATGGCCGAACACCCTAACTGTCATGATAGAACTCTCATTCAGTGACTGATGGAAGAAGATGCAGAGATCCATGACCAAGCCCTAGGTGGAGCTCCAGGAGTCCAATTGGTGAGAGAGAGGAGGGATTATATGAGCAAGAGATATCGAGACCATGATTGGAAAAAGCACAAGGACAAATAGCCAAACTAGTGGAAATACATGAACTCTGACCTGGACCAGGCCCTCTGGATAAGTGAGACAGTTGATTAGCTTGAACTGTTTAGGAGGCCCACAGGCAGTGGAACTGGGACCTGTCCTTGTTGAATGAGCTGGCTTTTTGGAACCTAGAGCCTGTGCTGAGACACTTTGCTCAGCCTTGGTATAGGGAGGAGGGGACTGCACCTACCTCAACTGAATCTACCAGGCTGGTCTGACTCCCCAGGGGAGATCTTACCTTGGGAGGAGGTGGGAATGGGGGGTGGATTGGGGGAGGGAAGGCTGTGAGATGGGAGGAGGGAGCACAGGGGAATCCATGGCTGATATGTAAAATTAAATTAATCATAAAATAATTTTAAAAAACCCACAAAAAACAAACAAACAAAAAGAATGAAAACCCGGTGCAGATTGACTTCATCAACCTGGATCAGACTTCAGGGAGTCTAATGCCAGGCAGTTCATTGTCAGCATATTTAAAACAATACAATTTTGGGGAAAGGTTTCCAGGCAACAATCAGTTTAATTCTAGGTGTGCAATAAAGCTTAAGGTGTGACTACATAAAGATTCCTTTACACATTACATATGTCCATGATGTGGATTTTATAGCTAAAAGACCTAGAAACCACTGTGCTTTCTGACTGATAGAATAGAGGTCAGGAGGCTATAAAGTACATGCAACATCTGCCCTAAGGATGGATAATGGTCTAGGGAGGGAAGAGTCTGGAATAACCATTCTGGGGAATTAGGGTGAGGTCTGTCCCTGACCTAAAAAGGTCACCAGATTCTTAACAACTTCACTCTCAGCTTTTTGGATGGAAAAAAAAAGTGTTTGATTTTGTTTCCTCTATTGAGGAGTCACCCTTGTGTGATTAACATTCCTGGTTCTCTTAGTGCTTCTCTGTGAATACCAGTGCCCCCAACAAGTTTCAAGCATTTTCATCACTAGGAAGAAATATATTTTTACAGGCTATATTCCCTGTCATATATATTTTCCATATTTGTGAGCATAAATGTATATTTATCTACAACAGACCTTGACATTTGCTGGTGTCAGCAGTACATCTGGGATTTTCCATTCTTATTTACACAGTCCTATAATACATGAAATCCATAAAGCAGAGTACTTGAGAGTTGGAACCTCCAACTGTAGGGTACCACTGCATAAGCCAGATATCTTGGGCAATTTGTTTAAACCCAAAGGGACAGGGATGCAGTTTCTCTATCTAAAAACAGGGACAATGGCAGCCATATCTACTTTGTACAATGTGAAGAGCATGTGAGTCTATGAGAACTACCACAGAGGCTTGTAGTAAAGACCACTAAGGACTGTTATGTTTTAAATTTCATTGAAAGTAATGGTCTTGATATAGTTTTTTTGATTTCATAAACACTTTGACAAGTGGCTATAACCATAAAGTACAAAGGTGAGTAAATGGGGCAGATCAGTGGGTGTTTTGCATGGAGAATTATTATATGATTTTCCCCAGGGAGATGTAAACTAAGGTCTATTCACTACAGACAAGGTATTGATGACTGGTCAAAGAAACCATCCCATCCAAGTCTGGCTTGGCAAACCAATGACTTTCTTTGAAATCACTTACAGAAGTATGGGTGATTCAGAGGCAGTTGTATTACCCAAAGCCCACCCTAGTATGACTGATGACCTCCAAAAGATGTATTCATGGAGGTACCTGCCCAACTTGCAGGCAACTCTGCTGAAGTATCTCCTGTCCCCAGCAATTGCTTATTCATTTAACTACCTTAGGTCATTTGGTAAGGGAACTGGTGAGTTTTATAATTTTCTGAGATTCCTGAATCTTTTAGCCTCTGTCTTCTCTCCCAGAGGCAATGTTTCAATTCAGAGGAAGCATAATCAAGAAGCTTATTATTGTAGTGTAGAGCTACATAGAAACAAGGGTAGACTGAGGACATAAGGGCAGAGACACAGTATGGACCAAGCAAGAGGCAATAGACAATACCACTCCATGAGAGCAGACTATGTAGAGTTGAGAGGAGGAGGAAGGAACTGTACATACAGAATCAGAGCCACTCAGAGAGCCCATTCCAGTACAGCTCCTTTGCCTATGCAATGGGACCAAGGCTCTGCCCTCTCTCTCTCTCTCTCTCTCTCTCTCTCTCTCTCTCTCTCTCTCTCTCTCTCTCTCTCTCTCTCTCTCTTTCTCTCTCTCTTTGCATGAAGCTAGTAAGCATTCAAAGAACCCTATCTTTCCTGTCATTCCCACTGAGAGAAACTCAAGTAGGGGACATTAGCATTCTCTGAGATGGAAATAGAATGGGATAGATACCTAATACCCAAAAGACATTTTGTTTGTTTGTTTGTTTTTATTTTTAGTAATTTTAGAGTTCTCATCTTGGCTTCATTCCTCAGCAGGCCCTTGGAACTGGCAGTCATCATTCACAAGTGATAACATTCCTTAAAGGCTTAAGAGTCTGAACTTTCCATAGATGAAGTGGAATAATCTTCAGAGATTAAAGTAGCATCTGTGACCAAACTTCAGAAAATATCTTCAGTCTGAATTCAAGTTGCTAATTAGGTACTTGTTCAGAAAGTTAGAGTCTTCCAGAAGCATCCTGTGGGAGGGGAGTGTAGAGAATATAAGTCAGTAGGGAGGGGGCTGACATGTAAGAGCTGATAATTAATCTTCTCTGAAGCTTAATCACATCCTAAGTATTTAAATGTTGACATGCATTTCAAGTTGGTCTTTTCAGAGGCCTTGCTATGGCAGAATGAAGCCCAGCCTGAAGCCAGGTGGAACAAACAACGATGCATGATGTCAACAAGGAGCATTTGCCTAAGTTAGCTCTTTTATGTGGATTCTGCAGCACTTTCAATCTAGAGCTAGAGCCTTTTAGATGGTCTAGAGGCCATGACACTAGCCTTGCAGTGCATCCTGACCCTGCAGCACCCTTTCCAGTGAAGACAACTTCCACATCTCCACCAAGAGGTCTTGTCTGACATTTTGTTGGCCCCTGCTCATTATTTACCCTGAGTAGTCCAAACTAAAATGCATCGCAGCAAACAAACAAACACAGCAGAGACTGAATGCTTACTATAGACCTGGTCTTTTCTATTTTTTTTCCTGACATCACTTCATGTATCACTCACAAAAGTCCTACAAACTATAATGCTTTATCACATTCTATTTGAGGGGTGGACACACAGAGCTTATGAGAGTCTTCTGAGGTCAAGTAGTGCTGACCTGGTGAGTATAGGCCATCAGTCCTAGGTTGTCTGACTCTGTATCTTCCAATATTAGAGGCCTAGTGTTAGAGTACAGGGAGGCATCATACTCTAGCTCTTCTCTAGATGGGCTTTGACGTCATTCCTACCTGTCCAATTCTTTTTTATGTGAGGATTCCTGCTGTTTGGGGTGCCCATGGGGGAAGGCTGATGATTATCTCTGGAGTTGGCAATATCATACCATGGCATAATCCTAATCTAGTTTGGTAAAGCAAAGTCTTACTCTTTTGACAATCATACAAACAAAATGGCCTCCACATTGGTGGCTTTCAAGGGGGTTAGAAGTGAAACAAACAAACAAACAAACAATCCTAGGATGAGTTCTGGAAAACTGAGCTTGGGAAAAAGAAAACCTCTATGGATAGTGTTTTAGAGCTAAATATTGTAAACCTCACAAGGTGCATGAGTTGCCAGGCTCCTTCCCTGAGGACCT